TAGCTGGTGGAAAAAGAATAGATTATAGAATAGATTGCAGCTAAAGTTGCAATTTGCCTAGGGTAGAACAACATAAATTGCAATTCCATATTTGAGTAACTGTGTACAGGAAGTATCCATCATACAGGAAGAAAAAAAATTATTAAAGACAACAACTTGCACCAATTTTCTATCTGCTAGATCATTTTTCTATAGGTATTTCCACCTATAAAACTAGTAATCCAATTAAAACAATGTTGTAAGCTAAAATACACTTCATTCTAGCATATGGTTTGTAGTAATCGAGAGTAATTTTCTTGTTTTACTAGAAGGCAGTAATATTTGCAAGGGAAAATGATGATCAACTTAATCAGTAATTCACTGTGACCTTCCAATGCCTTTTTGATTTTACATAAGAATTTTAAACATCTACTTTAGCAAGCCATTATGAAATACTTATAGGAAACAATTTATCCATGCTTGTCAGCCCAGCATGATTTTGCAGCATTGCCCTGTTTAGAAGGGGTAATCCATCACTACTACAAGCAGGATTCAGGAATTCTTGGTTCTCTACCCTATGCTCATACCACACTACTTGTGAGAAAATACGCTTAGGATAGGAAGGGTATATGAAGCAAGTTTCTGGGACAGTAGCCCAAATAGCTATAATGACCTTTTGCAAGGCTAAGCACTCAAAATTGAGGAAATTCCAAAGATCAAGTTGCTTTGGCAACTCTGAATAAGAAACGAGGAGACAATGCCGCATCCCTACAATCATCATGTATATTGCCATGATTTTGATATAAATAAAAGCAAAACTTTATCTGAGCTGCTATGCAAAGTATTAACTTCAAAGCTGCAGAATAAGTTACTCCCCTGCAAAACTCACTATCAAATGGATGTGATGGTTATTCACATCTGCATGCTAACACCAGCTAGCGTCTTCAATGTTTCTAAGAAGAAGAAGACTGCAGATAGTAATCATAAGCCATATAATCTACGATTAACCTTTTCCATTTCTTCTCTTTACTTCTTTGTCTATTTCTTCTTTATGTCTTACTGGTTCAAGGTCAAAACGTTTCTCTTATTTTCCTCACCAGATTTTGATACATACTTTTCTGATAGTTATGACAGGAGCTTGGTATTTCTCCATCAAAGATTTGAAGTAATTTATTTTTTCATTTCCTTTTTCATATCTCTACTGTTATATAAATACGCTCTAGCTAATAACTTCAAAAACCCACTACTATATCTTATAGTTAAACTTCACAAATGCTCCCCTTAACCAAAGCCTCACAGTAGTAAGATAATCAACAAGTATTATAAACACCTCATTTGTTCAGGAAAAAAAGGTTATTTATAGACTGTCAATAGAAAAACGAAATACAGTAACCATGAACTGAATCACAGTCTATTAACAGAATTACAACTTATTTAGAAAATACAAGGATAATACAAACTACAAAAACTATGACTGAGCCACTGCAGCTGTTGGTCTCTGATCTATATTGAAACAAATTGCTCATTATTTCAATTATTCTATTTCTGTCATCATTATTTCAACTGTAGTTTTTGTTCAGAGTTTGAAATAAAATTCTATAAAAAACTCCATTACAAGAAATTATGCATATTCATCATGTAAAATAATTTTTGTCATTGAAAATACTATGAATCCCGAATAGGACAGAAATTATAAAAATATAAAAACATCTGTGAATATATAGATTGAAACAAAAAAGTAAGGGCTAGTCTCTATTCACTCTACACAATCACAAGACGCTTGTACTGTCTGTCAGCTGCACGGCACCCAGTGTTTATTTTAAATAAGACTCCCACACATGCACACCACAAAATGGCGTCAAGAGCTATCTGTCTGGTCTGGACAATTTCAATGTCTTGTGAAGCAGAACAAAAAATTCTATTTTCTTTAGTCAAAAAAAAAAAAAAAAAAGCCATGACAGTAGTCCTTGTGTCTTGAAAAAAATCCGCAGTGATGTGCATGATTCCATCAGGCTAAAGCATGAAGTCACTATTATGTCTTTTGATTTTATATTATTTATGTAGAAATTCAGTGAAAGCTTTATTCCACAAAAATAAAATCAATGGGGCTCAAAAACAATAGGGGCATTAATTTTTTTTCTAATCACTCCTGAATTTTTAATCCAAAGTCTAAACACAGAATTAGAGCTGATTTACTAATACAACTCAGGAACATGGGATATATCTAGACCTTAAACTCCATTAGATTATGATGGAACAGAAGAGCAACAGAAGAAACCAGATCCTCCGAGGAAAATATATTAAACTTGAAAAACATCTGGGGATCTCTTAGGGAGAATTTCCTCTAAAGACCTTTTGTTTTCTTGACAGAAGCGTGGGGAGCAGTTACATTTGCGGTACACCGCTAACGCAATGAACTGAATGTGAATATTCTGACCCTCAAGGAAGATTTGAAATGAGCATGCCTCTTGGACAACTTCTTGACAAGCTTTATAATACCTTTTGGAATCTTTCAGTACTAATAGTGAAATCCACACCCATGTGGATCCAGTGAGTAACAATAATACTCATAATAATTGCAAGAGATTTGGTTAAAAGAAAATTCAGTAATTCCATTGCTCATGCACTGAATTTAAAGATTCTGGAGCTGCAGATCATAATGATGTGACAGTCATTTTTAGATCTTATATTTATGGACATTATTCACAAAGGGAAATAATGGCTTTTCAGACTGCTGCCAGGGAAAAACAGTTTGTTATAAACAATACGTAGATAAATAAGTATTTATTAAACATCAGGATTATTCAAAATGTATAGACCTTTGGGAGCAAACATTTTAATAAAGGCATAGAAGCTGAAAGAAACAGAATGTAATGATTTGGTAAAACCACAGCTGGAGGCAGAGTTCAAGTTATGCACCTCAACAAAGAAAGTACAGACAGGTCTGACATTGGGAAGCTATCTGTAGATAAGGCCTCTGTTTAGAGTGCAAGTCATGCTGGCTAATGGATGTCATGTTCATTGACAATCACATTAGGCTTTTTTGCAATTTTATCCAAATAAGGCTAATCATTCAGCATGCCTAATTTATACAGCTATGAGGGTGGGTTATCAGGACAGATGTAACGAAGCATTAAAGACTTGGGAACACTGACCTAGCTGTCAAATTTGATCAAATCCAATGGAATTCAATTTGTTAATCTTGCTTGACAATCCTACCCTCATGCACTCTAAACACTAATACATTTTGTATTGCACTGAGATGCACAGTCTACAGCAAGACTTTCTATTTGGACTGACCAGAAATAGGCACTAGCTCTGTTCAGATTTGGAGTCAGAGGCAAGACTTAAACTAGGAAGTCCAAAAATAGGATTGTAATCCATAAATATTTGTAGTATGTATTTTCTTGCCTAACTCTTACCTTAAAAGAAAGAAGCATGAGACCACAATCAAATATTTTAATAATGACTGCAGCTAATAAAAGAAAATATAATTGTTTTCTTATTAAAGAGCGAGAATTCCAACCCTCTAACACCAGTTGCTTTTGCCTGTGTATATATACACAGATCTATTCAAACATCAACTGACCAATGCAGACATTTCTGCACCTCTGGACATTTCAGTTCTCCATAGTACTGATCAGATTAATGCTCATTGTACGCCCTATAACGAAGGCTTCTGAGTCCAAGAGAAGAGTCTAACTCTTCCTAATACCCACTCGGGACTTACTCAAAAGGTAACATCTTTTCCATCAGCTACATAAATTTCCAACAGCCACAAAGCTTTGGCTTATTGCTACATAGGAAACCTAGATAGAGTGAAATGAAATAGCACAAGCTCTGAACAGTTGATTTATCCTGTTTCCAGTCTACTCTAAGAAGAACAAATATAGCTTTCTCCAATATTTTCAGTGGTAGACATAAACCTGTAGGTAGTAAACTTTCAGTCCTGGTTTATTTCAGGACAGTCCTTCTGAAGGAGTTTCCTACCTTACTACTTCTCCAACTCCATGGGACAACTAAACATTCTGGTTTTCCAATCCTTCTCCAAATTGCCTAAAGAAGCCTAGTGTATTGAATTAGAGACAATCAAACTTGGATAATTACTCTGTTCTCAATTTGAGGCAGATTGGATAGTAATTATTAGCCCAAATACAGGCTCCACCAGATCTCTCAATCATACTAGAATAGGCAAGAGGGAGTTCTGGAATACATAAACCATTAGTTAGAAAAGAATGATCAGAACACACTTAGTCATCCTACCTTTATGATGTCTTATATATTCAAATGATCAAACACAGAGTAAACAATTTTGCCATCCAATTGCACTTTCCTTTATGTTGCAAATATAAACAAATAAAAATGAGATCAGAGCTCCACCCAGATACCCAGTTTCTTTGGGGAGATTAGCTCATACTGAGTGGTTTGTTGTCACAAAACCCAAGGCTACTGAGTCCTAACCATAGAGATCACCTCTGTCTTATATACAAGAAAATTGACAGAAGGATTTTTAACTGCCACATCATGAGAGCATCAAAAGACAGCAAACTGCATTTTGCATCACATTTCTTTATGGCACATATTTGTGCAAAAACAAATTCAGAGTTCCTCTGCTGGAAAAGAACACCATTAGGGAGAACTGTACATTCTAACTCACAAGGACATGAAGATAATTAATAACATAGCTATTCATTATTTATATACATGTGTGAAGGTGCATTTGTATGAATGTGTGTGTATATATGTACATACATACACAAACATATATGTACACCGAGACACAGAGGTATAAATTTTGATAAAGAGTAGCCAGCTAAGGGGATGCTGCAGTCTTAATGAAGACCTTAGTGAAAAAAAACTATAGAAATTTGTCTGTTGTAGAAAAAGTGACAATTTAAGAAACAAAACACAAAACAACAACAAAAACAACACATACACCTCCGGAACTGCTGTAGGAGGGACAAAAGATTAACATGTTTAGATTCCAAAGTAGATGGATTGAAAGCAAAGCATTGTTATACCTGCAATGATGTCATCCATCTGCTCCAAAGCTGCTTCAAGCATATGACTAGCATCGGAGGTCATGATCTTAGATTTGTTCAGACCTTTACTCTTCCTACTGAAAAGACAGATGAAAGCATAAGTATCATACTAAAATCAGACTTGATAGAAAATCTACTTTGCTGTTACACTGTAAATCAAGCCACGCAAGCAAAAGTCCTCTTAAAAATAGAGCGTAATTAATTTTGACATTTTGACTAAGAGATTTTACAAAAGTCAGCAAACAATCTCAAGCGCCCTGGAAGCCTCGAATTTGTAAGCGGAATTTTCTAATTGAAAGTTGATTTTATTCCAACCTTCTTTACTGTGGGAAAACCATCAGAAATGATGAAACTCAGTAAAAAGCCCAATAAAATGGATTTTTTTCTTACTAACACATCAAGATTATTTGCTTCTTTTACAAATCAAGAGTCCTAACACACTGGCTCTTCACGAGTGTGCTGCTGAAATATTTACAAAGATACAGAGAAATTTCATTCATTAATAACCTCTACATAGTCAGTGAGTGTACGTGTCCTATGCCATTCTGGTAAATGTATATAACATGCAAGAATGAGAATCAGGAACTACCTTTCAATTTCAGCCCAGCCAAGATAAACTATAATTTATCATAACGAGTAAGCCATTGTTTAATTACAGATCAAACACATATGAAGAGTAACATGAGAATGTCATATTAGAAAATGGAAAAAAAGTCTTTTGTTCTTACCTAAGGCAAAGATTAATGAATTTTGTCTCTCCTATTTTTGTCAAAATAGTAATTTAAGTGTAGACAACGCTAAATGTAATTAATTTTCCCCAAATACATCTGATATTTATAGCAATGCTCTATGCTCAATGCCTCAAATGCTCTATTTAACAGAACCAGAAATAGGGCAAATTATGTTCAAATTGAACAATCTTGGAAGTCCTAAGTGAGCAGATGAAGTTAAAGTTTCAGAACATTTATCCATGTGATCTATACTTTCAAGAGACTCCTTTTGACTCCGTTTATTCCCTTTGTTGATTTTGGCAGGCTTCCATCTTCTGTTGTTGCATTTATACGATAGTCTAGTGTAGCAGATTCACTAAATACTTAAGAGATACCTGAACCACTTTAGGAAAATTTCTTTTAGTTTAAAACAACCATAACCAGCAACAATCACTACAACAAAGGGAAATCCGTCTTTGGCAAGTAGATGCCAAAGATGCATCTAGGCTACCTTGATCCTAAAGCTTATGCAGAAGAAAAGATTCATTCCCCCCAAAAAACTATTGCCAACCTCTGTGCTGTTAAATCAGGACAGTAGACCAGCTCAAGATTAGTGGGAAGAAAGCAATAAAAATACTAGAAATAGCATAAAGTCTATATTGGTAGGTGGTAATGCATGTTCTTATTTGCATTATATGATTATGCTTTGTGTACCTTAAGCAGCTACAGCAATTCACATTTATTATTAAAAAGAAATGGAAGACTGTCAATCTTAAGTTTCAAATATAGTATGACTGCCCTATACTGACCTGTTACATTGACATTTTGCAACAGCAAAACTTTTTATCAAGACCTTAACATGAAATGGAAAAAATATTTTGTTGAAAAATACCACTACATCTGAGTCTTTTATCTCCTCCCAGCCTCTATACTCCTTGCCTTCTTATCCGTATGCACAGTATAATTGCTGGTTAACTGAATCAAGCTGGAGTAAAACCGGCTAGACAAAAAATACATGATTTATTAATAAAAGTAAAGTGCTTTGCTCCAGCGTAATAATGTAATATTACTTGCTGAACATCTTTTTCTAGACAGACCTGTTGCATGAGCTTCAGGCAAGTCTTATTTTCCCAGACACTCCCTTCTTTGGCTGTTCTGAGCAATAATATGAAAGTAGCTTCTTAGATCCCGTAAGATTTCAGTTACCATTTCTGATCTGTTTCTATAGAACTATCTGTAGTTGTAGCTTTTTTTTTTAAATAACAAAACACCTGTATTAATTGGAAAGCACGGTGAGTTATACAAAAAGAATATACATATTTGCTGGCTATTTAATGGCAATTCTTTTTATTTTTTTTTCTTGAGTGACATCAACAGATGCAAAACATAATGACTTATCTGCATTCATAAAAACCTGCATATGTTGAAAAGCAGTTTTTGTTTAATCTTTAGGAAACCTGCAAAAATATTCTTCATTTCTATCAATAAAGTAAAAGCTTTAATGTCAGTATTCATATTTAATATTCTAATTTTCACAACTGTACCCAGATTAATTTATAGCAGAAAAATACAGGAAACAATTAACTCACCTTTTCAGGACTCTGAGAAGAATATACTTTCCCCATTCAGTAAAAAATATTCATTGTTAATAACAAAAGTTAGTGCTGTTAAGTAGACTTAAGTCTAAATTATTTCATCCCTTCCAAGCCACATGCTCATAAGAATTTAGAGCCCAACCTACAGATAAAGATATCGCAACCCTGTTTGTTATAATTACCTAAGTAATAAGATCATCCAGGAAGTGAAGAACACCAGTCTGAATGCTCTACATTTATTTTACTCAGGTAGCTTTACCCAATAAACTCCAATCTCAGATTTGCATTTCAAATCAGCTCTGCTAGAGCTGTTGTGCTTGCAGCCAATATGCCTTACAAATTCCTTAGGCTACTTTCCTTATGTATAACTATAGTTTCCTGTGCCAACAGAACATAATATTTAACAGGCATATTCACTGGGCCTTCATAGTCATGAAAAGACTAAATTAAATTTGAATCTTTCATGGCTGCCATGAACCAGCAGCTCTCCAGAGATAAGAACATGAGCATAACTCCTGACTCGGACATTTTTCACAGTTGCTCCTAATAATGATGCTGCCAGTGTTATCAGTTGTGGAGAAGGGATGGGTTTTGTGCTAGGAACCCATGAAATCCAGATCTCGCTTTAATATTTAACACTGTGTGGCTTTCAGTTTCCTCTCATATTTAAAAGACATTGCTAAAAGATAAATGCCACCATCTTTCTGGGATGAGCCATTTTGAAGGATTCAGATTCTAAGCACTTAATAGCATAAGGAAATACTAAGAGCCTTGACATAGCTTCAGAAGGCATTTTTTTTCCTCAACTGCAAGATGGCTCCTAGGGTATGATGATGATATGTGCGTGATTCCCACTCCCAACATTTCCCACCTTGCTTTTCCTCCAGCCATATGCAGCACTCCATGCAGTCACTCCAAAGGTCTAGAGCTGCTAATTCATCTCTCTAATCTTTTTCAGAAATTTGGAAAACACCAAATGTTATAAATACATATTTGGACAATAGTCTTTGAAAAACTGGCATATCTCTCCAATTAAGTTAATTCTCAGCCCTAAATAACTATCTGCAGCTGTTAGGAATAGAAGGATTTCAGACGATCACTAAAATGACAACCTAAAGAACACTGCTATAGTGCTTGCTATATAGCATCATTCAGGGCTATCCGTCCAGAAAGCCTATTCAGCAGTAGGGCTTAAATTTCATGTTTTTGTTAACATAGATACTACCTTCTCTATTTCCTTTTTATGTGGTTCTGTAAAACAAGTGGAAGGGAAAATAGAAGTAAAAAACCCTTCCTCTGTTTATGACCATTTACATAATAAACAAAAGGAAAAAAATAACAGTATAGAGTTTTAAGACAACTAAACCAGTAAAGGATAACAAATATTTTTCAATCAGGGAAGTCATTTAAAAAATGTAAAGGCAAAGGTCCATGGCAAAGCCAGGAGGATGCAGAAGCAAAGGGAACAAATAAACAAACAAAAAAATCTGGAAGTTACGCTTACACACTAGAAAAAAATGAAGACTTCCCAAAGCTGTACAGAGACTGAACCATCTGGAAATGGCAGAATAATAGGGAAAGTTTCCAGCCAACATATTCCTGGAAGTCCTTATATGTAGACATCCTTGGGCAGAACTAGTACAAAGTTTCATGCTGGAAATGACCTATAAAACTAAGGTACATCAGTACTTAAGTATTACCCAGGCATTGTAGAACCCCACATCCTGTGCTGCAAGCAATAGCTGGAGTTGCAAGCAGAAAGAACTATGCCATATTTAACTAAATAATTTCCATAAAGATATGACAGGAATTGAATTCATTTAAATTTGTGATATTACCATCAGGTTTCAGTGAAGTCAAACAACTGTTTTCAAGAATAGGCCCATTAGATTTGTGAATCCAAATCAGAAACTAAACAATTCATTTAGAGGAAAAAAAAAAAAAAAAAAGGCGGGGGAAGGGGAGGAAGCACCCTTAAAAATATGGTAAGGGCTTTGGCTGATTCTTTATGATACTTTAGAAGTACAAATCCCCTCAGAGTAGCTCTTCCTCAAGACTCAAAGATATCAACTTACAGTTCCTATTAGTGGCATAACTGAATTTCCTGACTCATGTTTGTATCAAGTCTCATCCGATAAGTATAAAAGCTGACACTAACAGAATGGCATGTGTAAAGCCAGGCTTCTTCCGTTCCTCTCTACGGTAGTTTTATTAACCAGAGAAAGCCCTTTACTAAAGCTTTTTTCTTTAATATATAAAAACATAGTTCATAAAAAAAACTTTAAAAATCACTTCATAATTTAATTTTACCTTTGCCATCAGATGCACATATCCTTCATTTTGCAGAAGTAATTAAAAATTGGTTCAAGGTTCTGTATATTCATGCATATGTGTGTATAAATACAACCTTTCTCTCCGATAGGCACATTAACACAGCAAATTCTGTAATTCATGATTTTGCAAATCTTATACCAAAATGCATTATGCACTACTAAAGTGGGCAAAAATGAATCAATGCTTTGGATTTAAAGTTCAAATGAGTTAAGCATGGTGATATATGGGAGGAAATTTTCTCAACCAAAACGTGAACACTTCTGGACTTATGATAAATGCAAAGGTGAATAATATACAGAAATCAAACATGGTACTACACTTCACATTAGTAATAAAATATTGCAAAAAGAGGGCAAAAAAAAAACCCTAAATATTCCTGAGAGTTTGTTCATTTAAGCTGAGAGATGATATTATGAATGATTTACATTTTTTATC